ATTTGAAAATAGTGTGGATGATGTGTAATGATCTTGAATTACATCAATAACTGTGATCCAATTAATTAAAAAACAACAACTTTTTCATATAATATATTTTAAATTGATCAAATCATCTGAAAGTCTACTTTTTATGTTTACACGAACATGTTTGTAATTGCAAAATAAATACAATTGAAATACACATTTCTTCTTTGTTTATTTCAGATTTAATTTAAAGGTGCAATTGGTAGTAGAAGAGCATTATCTTAGACCATTTTATATTCATGATAATAGGTAAAAAAAATATAATTTTTCACTTTTTGATGAATCTGTACTGAATTACAGGCAATTAGAATATGTCTTAGCATATTTTTAGTGAAAGTATTTAAATACCTTTCAAATATATCATTGATATCTCCATTCGCTTAAACGTTATGCCCAAAAATGAATTGCCGGGCGCACAACACCTATTTATGATATTTTGAAAATTCACTTAAGATTTTTTTAAAACTTCACAGGGAATTAAACGTGTTCGGTAACGTGATCAAATTTTATGAAGGCCGAATATTTGATCACATAACAACCCATTTCAGTGACCAGTGGCGACTAATTGTTATGACACTGCATGCCGAAGTGTTTTCAGTTGTTTATGACATGATTGCAAATTAATGATCAGTTGCATTGATATTTTCCGATAGATTTACAAACTTATTGTGAATAAAATTTACTGAAATAAAATTATAGATCTGCATTTAGAAAGATGAAGATTTAACTAAGGGTTAAAAAAAATGAATCACGTAGAGACTGCCTAACTGACATGAAACATTACAAAAGCTTGTTTTCTGTTTTCTTTGTGCATAGGTTCAAAGGAAGACATATATACAAAGAGAAAAAACGCCCGAGGGAGTTTAAACTATGACAAAGTTTTTCTATATTTGAAGGAGGGAAAAGAAAAATGCGTCTTCCAGATATAAATAATAAACAACTCTTTTTTATAGATACTCATTTTGTCACTTCTCTTTCACCAAAGAAGTTTTATCTCCACACTTCTTACTACAACTGTATAAAATCGGTGCTATCCCTGTAAACAACTTAAAATAAAATAAATACATAGCATATACTAGTAGTATTTTGTAATGTTTAAGAAACGTTGGTCCTATACGTAACATGGAAATGCTAACCTAAAACATTTGTGTGCATATTTATCTTTTTCATTTTTTAACCTTGGGTTTTCTTTGTTGTTTAAATTCCCTTTCGAGAATGGTTGAGAGGAAAACAATCAGTATATTTGTAATTTTTCGAAATATGTCGTCCTTCGAACGTTATGACTCAGGACCTCTGGTATTGCGAGAATGACTTGATTCTTGATGAGCAGATTTTTATAAGTACACATGCCCCACATACATATATTCTACAAATGGGAAAAATATTTATTAAGGTCTTCCGTTTCCAACGGAAGACCTTCTACTGATTCTGTTGGTAAAGATTATTATTCTTTTTTTTCTTCTGTTTCCTAGACCGCAACTTTGAGGCCTCATATCTCGCCCATTTCTCAACGGATTTCGCTCAAATTTTCAGACGTTATAGACGTTAATAAACTCTATCAGAATAATGTCTAAAATTTCAAAAAGCCACTTCCGGTTTGAGTTATTTCCCTTTAAAGGAAAATTGATAGGCTTTCGTTTCCAGACAAAGGCTCAGAGACGGCTAAAGCTGGAGCAGAAATTCTACTTATTTTAGATAATAGAAGGATTGAAGTTGTGCACATCGGTTTTTGTTTTTCGATTTCTGTATTCAAAATGGCGCTATATAGGGGTCAAAAATTAGAACGCTTAAAAGAACCAAAAATTACTCATATTTTTCTTTTTATCTTCTAAACTAAAAATATTTTGTTAAAATATGTAGAACATAATTTGTGCAGAATTAGAAGATCTTTCAAATGATATGTCGAAAAAAAGGCTGACCCCTAAATTAAGGGACCTAGAGGGGCCAAAATTTTTTTCCAGATATCTCAAAAAGTATTGAGAATTTGTTATGCATCAAAGAAGCAAAGTTGTTCAAAATATCAAGTTTTATCTAATGGGGTCGTCAAAATACGTCCGGCGATGTCACTTCCGGTCGAACCGGAAGTGGTCAGAAAATGCATATTTTTGCCGTTTTTGACAGGTTTTTGGGTAATATGTCTCACTAGAAGCTTAAATTTTAATTTTCCGTCCGTCGTCGTCACTTCTGGTCAAACCGGAAGTACCAAAGAATGGCTTAATTTTGCTATACTTAACATAGATTTGGAGGATTAACCCATTTTTGGACTTCATTACTCTTTTTTTTAAATGAAAGTTACTTCCGGTCAAACAGGACGGAAGACCTACTCGTTGCTTTGCAACGAGCTCGGCTCTAGTTAATTTTATTTTTGGTTTAATACAATATGTATGTATTTAAATATGTAGCTGCTATATAGATCTACCTGTATAGTTTTGATTACAGTTGAAAACGATCCAGATACAGTCTGCTTTTGTATAACAATGAAAGATAGATATAAAATACAAACTGGAAGGCCGCTATAATACAAAGCACGATGGTGCTATATAACTTTGCATTTCTTCCTCCTCTGTTTTCTGAAGAGGTACAATTTCTCTCCGAGTCTGCAAAAATATGTTTAATGAAGTTAGAAATATGTATAATTTAAATTAAAATCCAAAAATTTAGCTAAATATAAATATTCTGTATTTACTCGTACAATTCTTTATCATAACGTTTGATTTTTTTTGTTTAAATGGCAATATCCAAAATAAATTACAATTCAATCCTTGATAGAACAGATGGATATGACTTTTAATTTTAAATTTTGTTTCATCAATTTGTTTGTCTATAACTTAACTCATTTAGAAAGTGTTCATACGTATAGTATACTCTTACTTATTGAGTCAACGGTGAAATATTAATCCTGTATGCAAAAATATGTGTAGTTGACGATTGAAAGTAAAAATCGTCACATTTTATCATAAAGATTGATTGTTCGATTAAAAAATAAATATATTATTTATCAGAAACCCAAGAACTTTTTATATATAGTTGATGTCAACAGATAAATGATTTCAGATTTATTATATCTACCGGAATACGTGGTGTATTAGTCACCAGGTCTTCCAACAATCTATTGAAAGTCCCTTGGGTACCACAGAATTTGGAAATTTGTTTGTATCGATGACATATTGTCAATTATTGTAACAATCGGATTTCTATTCGTGTTTTGAAACGATGCCTGCGAACTTGAAATAAAGGATATCACAGACTCTGACACCTCATTTTTATATTTAGATGATTTAATAGAAAGAGTCGTTAATGGCTATCTATAAGCAAGGCTTTATGGTAACGTGGTGACTTTAACGTTTTGAGCGTCAACTTTCCTTAACTTGCTTACGCAGCCCTTGTCACCTGTATACAGAGTTTATTTAGATCTCTCAGCTCTGAGTTGATTCGATACAGAAGAATATGATCTACGTATGAACCATTTATGAAATGAGGTAAATTATTGACAAACAAGATAATGAAGCAAATATATCAGCAGTCTCATTTAAAGTGTTCATTTCGTTGGCTCTATGTCCATTTCGTTGGTTCTACACAATGGCCTTACAATGACCTCGTCAGCAAATACAATTTATCATTGTCAAATGTTCACTGACGTTTTTTACACTGCTTTTAATACTGATTTTAGGCCATTATTTACTAAATGAGTTGTCTACTCCCCCCCCCCCCTAAAAATAAGGTGCGACCGTTCGACAGGGGATGCTTACTCCTCCAGGACACCTGACTATATCTCTTCAGTCCAGTCCAATTTTGTATTGTTTAACGGACTACTGAGCTCAAATATAAAAATATCATTGTATATAAAGTTAAAATGAAGTAAGTGTTATGTTTATGACTTTGATAAAATTTTGTGTTTTTATTTTTTCAAACTTTCCTTGAAATTTCGAAGTATATATATATACGATTTTACCACTTTTCGAATATATTTATGTGTTGTTTAATAGTACCCGCACGTGCCGAGCATAGGCCTAAATGTGCAGCCATTCACCGGCAATGTTGACGTCTCCATATCAGTGAAATATTCTGATGAGGGACGTTAAACAGTATACAATCAATCAATCAATTACTTCTGAATTGTTGATCACAGAATTTTTTTCATCACTTTCAATGTAATTAATTCCTCTTACTAAATATCATGATTTATTTTCCAACATTGTTCCATCTTTTTTCTATTGCACATTTCGTACGCAATGTCCTACAGTGTAACTTCATAGGAAATACACATTTTGAAACCATGATTCTGAATATATAATTTTTAAACATTTATTATGAAAATCAATGTCTTAAGATACAGTCCATAAAGTTCTACAGATAGTTTGACGAATTCTCTTCGACGAACTTTTTGTACATCACAATTAAAATTTAATAATCATATTTATTAGGGCCAGGTAACTTTTTGCTAATTTTGATAGGTCTTTGCCTCCCCCCCCCCCCAATTACATATCAAAGAGGTATTTTGTGCTATGTGAAAGTGAATGTTTACCTGAACATCCTTTTACATGATCACAATATCCAGTTCCTCTACATTCACATTTTGACTGACATTGAACACCGTAGTTTGGATACCTGCAAGGGGATTCGCAATTTCCCCCATAATATCCAGGTGGACAATCTTAAGGAAGAAAACTGAGAAGATTTTGTTTCTTTCAAACAATGATACACATTTACTAATCTAAAGAATTATTAAGATTTAAAATTGAAATGTTCCCCAATTTCAAAAGTGTATTTAAGAAGAGTAACCTTCGTCAGGTACGCCGACCGTAAATACAGGATAAGGCACGTTTGAAATAATTGGAACCTCAGGTGAAACCGTTAAAGAACCGTCTGAAGAAATTCAATAAGACTAGTAAATAAGCAATGTTTAGTTAAACATAATATAGACATAAATGTAAAAATATTTGTATTGAAGCATTGAAAATATATGCCTTCACATCCTGTGATGTAACTGCAATTCTCCATTTCACAATTACAAAACATCTGACAACCCTTCCCGTAGTTAGGATAGCGGCAAGGTAGGCAGTTAGGACCAAAATAGCCAGCCTTGCATTCTATAAAAAGGATAACAAAACATTCGACAAAAGAATTAATTACTCAATCATGTTTTCAATAATAAAATTTGTTAGATATTTCTTTATTCAAATTTATTATGATTAGTTAAACAAGACATTTATCATCTTGACTTTTCTTAATTTCTTGGGATATTCTGAGATCAGAAAACGGTATGATTTAAAATAATATGACTGGATAGCGGACTTCATTACCATAACCAATTAAATTAACTTCCGATGTTCAAATTGTACTTTGAATTACAAGTACATGTAGTTTCAAGTAATACTTTTACCCAATGTCCTTTTTGCAGAACACTTTCATCACATCAATATATTCCTATTTGCCGGAACATAATGTATATTGATCAAAGTGTAACGACTTGAATCAATAGGCAATTCAACTTAATGTTTCGAATTTGTCGTTTTTATTTACACGATTGCAATAGACTCCACATGGTACAGTGATTTAAGAGTTTAATTGCCCTTAAAAATAAAGAGATGGTTAAAGTCCCAATGCTGGACGTGGAGACTGTCCTTCTGAAGAGACGTATTAACCAATATTCAATAGTCGCCGTAGTAGCAAACATAAGGAAGAACCTTCATCGCCAAAAGGCTAGAAGTGGTAACTACAAGTCTACAATTGTAGCCCTTCACCGGCAAGAGGTGGCATCTCCATACATGTATTACTGACAAAAAGTTCAAAAGGTTCGTTAAGAATAAACATACGAAGGGTGTCTAACATTGTCGTAGACAATGTTTAATCGTTTATAGCTTTGCAAACATTAAACCAATATTCTTGTCAAGTTTTGTATGGCCATATTTTGGACAATGTTCCTTTCACATAGTACATTATGGGAAGTATAATTATATCTTTTATGATAACATTTTTTGACAAGTTATGGAAAGGTTTGTATAGTTTGCGGACGCACGAACAAAATCCGGAATAATTTAAGCATGTAACTGTTCCAGTTGCATCTGTTTCTGTAGTAATATGTAAAACATCATATTAACAGAACCTTAGTAATATGACAAGTTTTCACGTAGATAGGGGAGAGTTTTATCGCAGTATAAGAAAAACCTACTCCTACATCTAGAAGTCGTTTATCACTTTAAATGAATTATTGAGATGCTCAAGAGACAAGTGAAAAGCAAATACGTTAGTAATTAATAATAATACTGACTAGAATGTCATGAAAGGTAAAATACGCTTGCTTTTTGTGCCCATGTGCACTGGTATGTTTCCTTCATTGTTATTTTATTTTCTTATTAACGTTGAACCTACGCCGTATAACATCATAACGGGTGAATGTGCTAGATCCATTATGACGTCATAATTAATTCAATGTTACAGTTTCCCGTACTTGACAGAAATGGTAGAAAATACTGCATTTTGAAATTCACAGAATTCAATCAAATAATCTTAATTTAGTTGATATATTTTTTGGTTTATAATGCTTAATGGCAAAATATTTCTGGAATAAAAGTAAAGTTGTAGGCACCTTTCATTTACTAGATCTAGACCACTCTCTACCATCAGCTCATACATTCACGAGGAACGAACGACAACGCTGCATAGGAGATTGGATCTAGACCTGAAGTTGACAAACCCAAGACTATCTAGGTAATGAGATTACAATGTATACAATTTTCGTAATAATTAGAATGGTATGTAACCTTTTAAAGGAATACAAAAATCGTAAGAAAGCTTTATTTGCAAGCTAAATAGTGTAATATCTAGATGAAATGTGTCTAAGTCAAAGATGTACGTGTTGTAGATCGTGTGATCGTGTGTACATTTTTGTGATATCTATAATGAAATGATGTGCATTCCTTTTCACAAGTATTTTTTACTTATTAATATTCTTGTTGTTTTATTACAATTTTTCTATTAAAAATGATCTTTTAAATAAAAGGTACAATTTCTGATAAATATTTAATCTGAAAGTAACCCCAAACAGTCATTAAATTATTAAATCCCGTATAAGTGCAAAAAGGTCAAGAATATGAGTATCGGTAAATAGCCTATCTCTCATTAGTTTGAGGGGAAAGGTGTATTTTAATCATTTTTTGTAATCATTTGGGTATGTTCTTCATCATATTAAAAATTGAAAACATTGTGACAAAGACTTCTAAAAATATTTACAAATGTAGGTTGCAAAATTGAATAAAAATAATAGAGTTCATTTTTCATATTCCCTTTATGACAAGTACCCCTAAAAAAATTTGAAAATGTGAAGTCGCAATATATAATTAAAATACCAAGTTTCACACCCTGTACTAGATTTAAAAACAAGGAAACATATCATGATTTTTTAACTGATTGATAAGCAAGTACTAATTTATAATTTTGAAAAGTTTGAAAATCTTGTGACAAAGACTTTTCCGACATTGGTTCTACCTTAAATGCAGTTCATGTGTTATCATGAACATTGAAGTTCATGATCATGATGTTGCTTTTTACTACAAGAAAAAAATATGAATTGGCATGTAGAAACTATATTTTGTCCCTATTCACTAATTTTTGGGACAAGCCTCGCACTTTCAATACAGTTCAAAATAGTAATTTATTGAAGAGATATATTTCAAGCCCAGATAGAAAATTTACAGTAAAAGTTGCTTAGTATACTAAATATCAATCCTTGGTATTGGATATACTGTTCTTACCTGAACAGCCGTTATCCGTTGGATTCCACTCTTTGCATGCTTCTCCAGTGCTTAAATGTAAAGGCTTGTTACATTTATAAGGACAATATATATTATGTTTACTAGAGAGAGAGAGAGAGAGAGAGAGAGAGAGAGAGAGAGAGAGAGAGAGAGAGAGAGAGAGAGAGAGAGAGAGAGAGAGAAGGCAATATAGAAGACATTTTTTTAAAATTCTACTGAAATTGAAATTACATACCTGGTTACATGTAATATTTCCTTTGTCAGACATGTCTTGAAAAAACTCATCGTACAAATCAGAGTACAGAATAAAACTCTAAAACTTACAGCCATTTACATTTCTTTGCTCTTGTTAAATATATTTTTAATTAATTTTTTGAGTGCTACATATAAAGACGTATTGATGCAAGTATGATGAGATTTATAAATTATCAATAGATAATTTATTTCCTGGTAGATAAAACTTCCTGATAACAAAGTCTTATATCCTGAACTGATCAGTGCAGAATCTATTTATCTCCACTAAAATGAAAAAGGAAGGCAAAGTAAGCTTTTGAAGAGAATAAAAACTATTATTCGAATATATATCCAACATTGTTCCATCTTTTTTTTCTAATGCACAATTTGTATGCAAATCCTACAGTGTAGCTTCATGTAAATACTCATTTTGAAACCTTGAACCTGAATACATGTATGTATATAATATATTTTATACAAATTCAACATGAGAATTAATGTCTTTGGATACAGTCCATAAATTTCTATTTTAAAGACAGTTTGGGGAATTCCTGTAGGCAAAATCTTTGTACATCACAATCAAAATTTAATATTCCCATTTATTAGGGTCAGGTAACATCTTGATATTTTTGAGTTGGTCTTTGTCTCGAAAAATAACACAAACCAAAACTGCTTTTTTTGATACGAAAGTTAATGTTTACCTAGACATCCTCGTATATGATCACAATATTCAGGTCTCCTACATTTACATTTTTGCAGACACTGAACGCCGTAGTTTGGATACCGGCAAGGGATTTTGCATTTTCTTTCGAAATATCCAGGTGGACATTCTTTAGAAAGAAAAGATTTTTTTTTACATATTGACACACATTTACTAAGAATCAATAAGTTTTGAAAATAAATGTTTCCTGAATTTAATTAGTGTGGTGTGTTTCAGTAACCTTCATCCGATACGTTGAATGTAAATACAGAATGAGACGCGCTTGAAATAATTGGAACCTCAGTTGAGACCGTTAGAGAACCATCTGAAGAAAATCAAATAAGTAGTAAATAAGCAATGTTTAGTTAAATATAATGTAGAAATAAATGTTGAAGGATATTTGAATTGAATGTTTGAAAATATATGCCTTCACATCCTGTGATGAAACTACAATCCTCCATTTCACAGTTACAAAACATCTGACAACCTCTCCCGTAGTTAGGATAGCGGCAAGGTAGGCAGTTAGGACCAAAATAGCCAGCCTTGCATTCTAAAAAAAGATAACAAAACATTCGACAAAAGAATTAATTACTAAATTATGTTTTCAATAATAACATTTGCTCGATATTTCTTTATTCAAAGAGCAAGAGGCATCTTATGCATAAAATGGCCCTGTACTTATACTGTAAACCAACTATAATTGGCGTCATTCATGATTTGTCAGTTTCAAATTATTCCGCGACGATTAATTTTCGCGAATGAAAAAACATTCCTTATAAATTCAAAAGAAAATAATTGGTTTGCGGCGATTAATATTCGCGAGTGAAAGGAGATCGCGAAACTCGCTGATATTTCTCGCACGCGAATAAAAGTTTGTTTACAGCATCAATTAATTAGCTATCACCCTCTTTCCCATTCCATATATCAAAATAAAGAAGATTCTTGGTGCTTTCATTTTCTATAATAAAATTTCGTTTTTGAGAATCCAGATATTGGAAAAACAAGGTTTGAGAAATTGCAATGTTCTTGAAATTTGCAGAAAACATGCGTATTTGATTACATGTACATTCAGCAAAGAATTAAAATATGAGCACAGCCCACAATCCAAAAAATAAAATATGCTTTTTGATCTTCAGAAACAGAGCTATCATTATGTATTTGCATAATTTGGATCAGAGGTTGTGCTAAATATGAAATATTGAAAAAATGCTTCAACATTAGGTCATTTTCGAAGGAATGTACAGGATATGGAGGAAAATAACGCATTTTATGACTTCATAATGATTTGGCTAGATGGAAATAACGTCACGATTAATAGATACCTGGTCACCAACACTCAAACTGATAAATACTGCATTTGCAGCCTAAACTGATTGGTTTTGATTTTTCAGAAATTCTCAAGGCCAAATATGGCCCAAAGTGGCTCTTGCTCTTTATTATTATTAGTTAAGGCATTTATCATCTTGACTTTTCTTAATTTGTTGGGCCATTCTGAGATCAGAAAACGGTATGATTTAAAATAATATGACTGAATAGCGGACTTCATTACCATAGCCAATGTAATTAACTTCTGATGTTCAAATTGTTACAGTACTTTGAATTACAAGTACATGTTGTTTCAAGCAATACTTTTACCCAATGTCCTTTTTGCAGAGCACTTTCATCACATCAATATATTCCTATTTACCGGAACATATGTATATTTGTCAAAGTGTAACGACGTGAATCAATAAACGATTCAACTTAATGTTTCGAATTTGTCATTTTTATTTACACGATTGCAATAGACTCCACATGGTACAGTGGTATAGGAGTTTAATTGCCCTTAAAAAAAAGAGGGTTAAAGTCCCAATGCTGGACGTAGAGACTGTCGTATTAACCATTGTTCAATAGTCACAGTAGTGGCAGACATAAGAAAGAACCCTCATCGCCAAAAAGGCTAGAAGTGATGACTACAAGTCTAAATTTGTAGCTCTCTACCGGCAAATGGTGGCAACTCAATATGACTGACAAAGGTTCAAAAGGAACTTTTAAAATAAACATAGAAATGTTGTTTCAAAAAGTCCTAGACAATGTTTTCTGTTGTAATATGACAAAAATTCAGACTAAAAATTATTTCAGTGAAAACAAACAGAATCTTGTTAATATGCCAAGTTTTCACGTAGATAAGGGAGAGTTTTGTCGCAGTATAAGAAAAACCTACTCCTACCAATAGAAGTCGTTTTTAACTTAAAGTTAAAATGAATTATTGAGATGTGCAAGAGACAAGTGAAAGGCATAAACGACATTAATAATAATATTGACTGTAATGTCATGAAACGTAAAATACGCTTGCTTTTTTGTGTTCATGTGCACTTTTATGTTTCCTTCATTGCTTCACAATTTTCTTATTAAATGCAGTCCATGTGTTATCATGAACATTGAAGTTCATGATCATAATGTTGCTTTTTACTACGACAAGAAAAAATGACTTAGCAAGGAGAATCTATTTGTCCCCTATTTGTCCCTATTCAATAATATTTGGGACAAACCTTACATTTTCAATACAGTTCAAAATAGTAATATATTGAAGAAAATTATTTCAAGCCTTGATAGAAAGTAAAATTTACTTAATATTAATCATTGGTATTGGCAATACTGCTCTTACCAGAACACCCGTTATCCGTTGGATTCCACTCCTTGCATGCTTCTCCAGTGCTTAAATTAAAAGGCTTGTTACATGTTTAAGGACAATATATTATATATACTATTTAAGAGAGAGAGAGAGAGAGAGAGAGAGAGAGAGAGAGAGAGAGAGAGAGAGAGAGAGAGAGAAATAAGAAGAATAATTCTTGAAACTACTGAGATTGAAATTACATACCTGGTTGATAGTTCTTTTGTCAAACAAATCTTGAAAACACAAACTGTACACATCAGAGCACAGAATAGAATTCGACAACTTACAGCCATTTACATTTTTTTGCTCTTGATAAATAGATATTATTAAAATTTTCCAGAGTTACATATAATGACTTATTGATGCAAGTATGATGAAATTTATAAATTATCAATAGATTTTTTATTTCCTGGTAGATAAAACTTCCTGATAACAAAGTCTTATATATTGAAATGATCAGTGCAGAATCTATTTATCTTTACTAAAAGGAAAAAGAAAACAAAGTAAGCTTTTGAGGTAAATAAAAACTATTATTCTAATATATTTCCAGTATTGTTATCAATTTCATTAATCTTTAGTATTCAATAAGTTACTTTAATTTTATGTGATTTTGACTGATAATTGCGAGTTATTGAAATTCATATGCTGTGGCAATGCACTTAAAAAAATTCAAAGTGCGTTAAAATTGGGACAAAGTCAACGCACTTTGAAAAATTTTTTAAAGTGCGTTAAATTTGGGACATACTCAACGCACTTTGAAAATTTTTTCAAAGTGCGTTAAGCTTGTACATTAGCTATTTTTTACCATGTGAAGATGTAACACACTTAGAAAAAAAATATATAAAACAAAAATTAATTTGTAATAATTATATTTTTCAAAAAATTGTTTTAATTTACATGTATTGATTTACTTTCATGGAGAACAAGAAGATAAGTATATAGAAGGTCTCTCAGTCAAACTCTTTTTTTTTTTTTATAAATAGCCGTCAGTAGCATATTGAAAGTTTCCCCAAGATAAGCCCCAATTTTTAATATCATTATGTATATCTTTGCAAAATATTTGTGTGAAGACCCACCCCCTGCTACCGATGTCTATGCTACACCCAGATAAATGTATTTGCATAAGTGGTATGACGATGAAAACTTTCAATAAATTTTATTTTACATTAAATGCATGCCATAAAAACTAGAAAAAATAAAGTACAGTAACACATTTAAGAGAGGAAGAATTTTTAAAGCATAGAAAAATCTAAATCGCTCACTTTCACATCCGGAAGTGACCCTATTACCGAAAAGTTATCCAACAGGTTGAATCTTTTATCACACCTAAGCTTCTCAAGAATATTGACCAAGACATACACATTTTTTTTTAAAGTGCGTTAATATGGTCCCAAATTTAGCGCACTTTGAAAATCTTTTTCAAAGTGCGTAATTTTTCAAAGTGCGTTGTAACATCAGTCGATACCAACCGAAATTGAAAAAGAAAACTCTTATTATCTCCTTTGCGTAGCAGTATCAGCCTTGATCATGTTGATTCTCTTTCGCATTGATTTCATCAAAGTATGTATGTGCCCTTAAATACTGAAACTGATGAACCATTCGGTTCATGTGAATCTGAAGCACATTTGCAGCTCTATTCTGCAGCATGTTAAATAATGAAGAGGGTGTGTGTGTATATAGCATTTATTACAAATGCCCAATGAGATTACAGTTTCTACAATTTTAGAATGCAGCAGAAGGTGGAATGCAAAAAATATCCCACAAGAGGGACCATAAACTTAAAGAGAGGGACATATATGTATATCGTTCTCACAGTAAACTTAAGGCACAATTGTTTACCCAACTCTAAAAATTGCATACAACAAACGAAGAGTAATTTGATTTATTCTAAAAAAAAAAAAAGAATTTTTTGTTATTCTTTTTATCAATTATTTGTTAATGTGCTTTTTGATCAAAGTTATTTTTGCATACAAAATATTTTTACAATCCACATAGAGATCTAGAGTGTCGGAGTAATAATCAATATAGGAATAGAATATTATAGTTCTAAACTAAAATGCACCACCTTGTTCTGTGCTGAATTCCATAGGTATTATCAGGTATCTTTTCAACCGATGCGATAAAACAAGTATTCAAACTTTTTTGCTTACAAAATTTATATGTAACAATAAGTAACGAAATATCAAAAATTTTTGAAATTTAGTTTAAAATAAGATTTCCATCTTAACGAACCCATTTATTCCTTTTCATAACGGTCAAATCTGTTTATCGTCACTTTCGTTATATTCGTTTGACTTAAAGTCCGCGGTTTTTATTGCCTTGTGTCACATTGATCCTTCTATAGTTCGTCAAGCAACCATATCTTAATTTTGCCATGCTGAAGAATAAAACATACAGAAAATGTCAAAAGGACATAACAAAATCACAAATTATCTCTTTTAAAAAGAGTAGATTTTTCCAGAGGTACACTTGAATTTAAAGAAAGCGTTTAATGAGATTCGCTTTCGAGCGTTTAAGCAGATTTTTATGTAAGCCTTTATTCAAAAAGTTCTGCATAATGTTATAATAATGTGAATCTAAAATACCAATTTAACCATCCATATTAAGTGAAAACATCATGATTAAATTCCATACCAAAAGCATGAAGCGAGGAACTATATTTTGTGGCGGAAGGTTTTTCTTAGAAGAGAATGATCATTTTTTCTCTTTTAAAATATTTAAATTATGTTGAATTTTCCCCTATTTTTACATGATTCCTGCCCTCAAAATTTTTCTGGATTGGATTATTTTATGCTGTTCCTTGGTTATCTATTAAATAAATTGAAATTACTTCTATCATCATATTTGATAAAAATATCAAATATATTGTGAAAAGGAAAGAAAAAATAACCATTTAAGCTTAAAATTAGCACTATTTTAGTACTTTTTAAAATAAAATCACAAAACCCGATGTCAATTTTCTTTTCTGAATATATACAATATTTTCACAACCATTCTTTTAAATTCGGTAAAATGTCATTACTTTCAAATGATTTTTGCCTGTTTATTTTTAATAAAAATGTTTGAGTGCAAAAAGGTCACACTTTTGGACATGCAGAGTGATTTGAAAATGTCTTCATTGTCACAAATTTTAATGTCTACTTTATATAAGATAATACTGTGTTTGTTCTCTTAATTTATTTGACCAAAAAATACTGGAGTAAAACTTAAGAATTTGATTTATGTGCACGACGTACACTGTAGTTACAGCGCAAATAGTGCAAATTAAATGTTCTGTAGTGCCAAAAGAAGCGCATTTATCCCGACTTTTTATTTTGACATTTGATAAACATAAGAGTATAAATTCTATAAAAAAATATACTTGATAAAAAAAACCTCATTACTTTAAAAGGCAGGATACAACCTCCTTATCAAGTTAAAATTGGATTAGGGCATTGATATAGTTGATATTTTCCCGCAATAATCTTCTCACCCTCTATGCTGTGCGAATTCCATCTCGCTGAAAACAGCGTTCTCGGGGTGACAGCGAAGGTAGATAAAAAATATGATATTATTAATATAATTCAACATCTTTTGCAGATAAGAAGTAGAACAAAATAAACGCTCTTTTTTAAATTAAATTCTACCACGATTATTTAAAACATCAAAGGAAACCGCCGGACATTATTCTCCAATAAATCACGAACGTCATCAAAAAATTATCAGATCAGAAACACGTATCAAATCTGAACAATTCAAATGCATGTTTGGCTGTAGGATGAAATACATGTTTAGACCGCATCGATGTGTCGTCTTTTGAATTATAAACACTGTAAATTGCATCAAGTTGGTGAATGTCGGTTTTTATAGCTAAGTGGGGCTATTCCACGGACCTCCCTACACATTTAACAACGTGATTTCAGCAGTAAACCAGGAACATGATTTTGTTATTGTATATTCATTTTAACTTATCAGTACATATTATGAACATATTTGTAATTTGTAAAAAGTTTATTTTTAATGTAACGAAAGCTCAAATCGTCTGCATTCTATACACAGGTAAACAAACAAATTTTGCCTCTGGTGTTAAATGAAACAGCGAAATCGAGACATTGTGACCTAATTCGTTTTTTTATAGAGGAAACGATTATTCCTAATTTAGAGTTTATACCATACGTGGAAGAATAGAAATAAAGTCCTTGTTGTCGTGAATGATGCAGAATAACCTCCGAGGTCGAGAAATGTTGTTTGAAATATAAAAGCCTCGGCTAGCGCCTCGGCTTTTATCTTACAAACAACATTTCTCGACCTCGGAGGTTATTCTGCAACATTCACGAAAACGCGGACTTTATTTCTTAATTAAACTCTTCCTTTCGGTAAAGGACACGTACATATGATGTCATGTGAAGTCAGAGTCTAAACGTACATTTATGTGATAATTTTCAAGTTCGATCAATTTGAAGTGGCGAATCTAAAAAAAAAAAATAAAAATTTTACCTCATTTTTGACAGTCGTAGCTTCAACAAAATTAGTACCTCATTAAAAAATCTTCATATATCTATTACAAATCGTTGTCAGTTTTTGTACAAGATTCAGTAATGGTAAATTTTTATACATATACTTAGGTGAAAAATTGGATTGTGTTCGTTTACGTCGAACTATTCAAAATAATTGTGTTGTTTTGACTAAAACACTGTAATATGCAATGAAAACAAATAAAATACATTTTAAAAACGATTTAATCTATAAAATAAGGGAATAAGGAAAAGGACCGTTATGTTACAGTTAAAATGAGAACTCTTTAAGTTTGTAGAGAAACACAATGATCTCGTTTGATAAAAGTCCATATATAAACAAAGAATAAAATTGCCGCGGCAACTGATATACTAGCAATGCTATATATAAGAGTCCATGAGAGCTCGGTTTCAGTGACATGCTCATTCTCAACAGCACAAAATTTACACGTTTCACGAGAAGGTTTGGTGGTTTTCCATGTCATCCCTGTGTAATTGTACAATGCAAAAGAGATTTAAATGAAATTTAATGTCCTCTCGCTTTCTCAAAAGCGGGGACCAACAAAAAAAGGTACAAAGAAGCTACATCGATGTTTAAAAAATGAAGATGTTTATTTTTCTTACTACAAATAAATCAAAATGTCTAAAATTATCTTTTAAACGAAGAACTCTAAACTAATAGAAGGCAAAGGTGACATTTACCATGTGCTTCCAACGCAGGGTCTGAAAATGACTTTGCAGTAACAGTCGATAAGAATCTACTTTTGGAACTGTTCATCAACTTTGTTTTCACTGAAAAAATAACCATAAATATATTGTTTCCCCTCCATATTTAAACTTAAATAAACTACCAAGTAAGAAAAACTTTACTTCATTTATTCATATTGCATCTTACTATCGAATTTATTGAGATGCCAAAACCATAGGCGAATACTGGATTTTTGATAGAGTGTATGGATAAGAGCAAATCCAGACACAAAAATAGTGGTACATGTATTGGTTACGCAGCACTGTTAAGGCTTACTATGTGAAATCGACGGAAAATAAAAGTGCAAAAAACGGGAAGTTTTTAAAATTGTATTTATTTTTATTCAGCAATTCTATTATCACAGAACTTAAATACTTATGGAAATAGCATGGTATAACATACTCTGTACTGTGTAGAGTTTGGTCCCATCGATGGACAGTCACGTGATGAACGCATAGCAGGTACACGTAATGTAGGTAAATAACAAATTTCAATATCGCAAGGGCATACCCTAATTGAAATTAAAAATTCAAGCTATTATTTGTTTCTGTGTACTTTGTAGTTTCTGAAAAGTGCTGCTGCTTTGAATAGAATTCGCGTTTTAATACTTAAATGTTTAAGTAAATAGGCCAATGTCGAAATATGTTAGAATTTTACCAAATATTTCGTGCACTTATGAAGTCACGGCCTCGATTTAAAGAAAGCAGCAGCACTTTTCAAGTTAAGGAATATAACCTTTATCTATATTCAAAAAATGGTTCAGATCTATGCAGTGTATGCCCTTGCAAAAGTACGATTTTATGTGGCATCTCGATGTAAAATATACGTAACCTGTTCATTAAACACGACATAATTAATAAAATACATTCTCTTTGTAGTTAATTAACAATCGCACAAAACAAAGGCTATACCTTGGTATTAATCGACTTTTTAAAATCTGTAAATAATATTCCTTTTAATAATAAAACATAATTTTCGTTGTTAAACAATTTCTCAATTTGCCTCTCACAGCACATGAAGTACGTCATTTTTACCAGTATGACGTCATGTTTACAAGTTCATCGCGACGAGTGGTTTGTCTACAACAAGCTACATGGGATTTAACTAGCAACTTTTTTTATGCATTGATAAGTTATAATATTGTTTATTATGCTAATACTGTTCAGCGTTGCAGATTATTTCATTTACACGTATAATGAGAACTTCATAAATGTCATATTTTTGTCTGACGTCATAGTATACTTTTCCCGTATAAATAAGGCCCCGCCCCCTTATTCAAGCCTTAACAATGCTGCGTAGTTATGTACTAAAGTATGGCATTATTAATAGTAGTCGTATCATACTTTGCATGGCGGGGTGGGGGGGGGGGGGCGAAGCCCCCAGAAGCTGCTGGTTATCATGTATTTTAAGAGTAAAACCAGGTACAAAAATGGTGGTATTCGTTAGTTATATTGCATACTATGGCATTATGAATATTAGTCATATCATACTTTGATTTTTTTTTTTTTGGGGGGGGGGGTGCGCCGCCAACGCCCCCGTTAAATTCGCCAAATAATTAGATTAACAATGAGTTTGTCGGTTTTTTTGAGAATGAAGTACGATCTTGATAAAGGGTGAAAGTACATTGTATTACGTAATAAATGCCCTTTCATAAGAAGAAATTATCGATATCAGTCTAGTTTCATTATTCTGAATAAGGATCAATTTTTGTTCTAATTCTAGGCAAAATATTTTAATTGATATGTATAATCGGAGACGCTCTGTTCTCTGGCTTGAAAGTTATCGGTCTTCAGTTTCCTAATTATATGCTATGAATACAAAAATCATATTCCATGGCAGCTGATCCCACCTAGAATGTTCTGGAGATCCGTGTCTGCTCTGCTCCTACTTTGTATTATTTAATGGACTTTTGATGTTTGGTTATATTAGTTATCTCCATAAGTATCAAAAAGGAATAAAAAAAACCCCACATTTTTTCTACATTGAAGCTCGGAAGTAACTTTTATTTTCGTTAAATAAAATAGGTCTTAAAATAGTGCAAGAGCTAATTCATTTAGTCAAACAGACAGTTACATACTTCTTTTAATTAAAAATGAATGGCTCTCACATTTTTTAGCCTTACCCACACAATCTTTTCAACAAGACGTGTTTGTGAAACACTATGCCCCCGGCGGCAACAAATTAAAAAAAACCCATATTTTTAGCATAGAGGTCACAGTCAAGGTCAAAAGGTCATTGATCTTGGTGTCAGTTAAAAGATCTTGATTAGTGAAGGATGCATACCAAATATGAAGTCTCTATCTTTCATGGTTCAAAAGTTATGGTGAAGGTTTAAAAAAGCTATTTTTAGAATATAAAACACAGTCAAGGTCACAGGGTCATTGACCTTGGTGTCGTGTGAAAGAGCTTCATAAGTGGAGTATGCAGGCTAAATATTAAGTCTCTATCTTCGTCCAAAAAGTTATGTCGAAGATTAAAATTTGCCGTAACAAAAACTATATTTAGTGTATACGTCACTGTCAGGGTCACAACGTCATTGACCATGGTGTCTTTTAAAAAAGCTTAATAAGTGTTGTATGTAAACACGTCTCTATCATTCATGGTTTAAAAGTTATGGCAAAGGTTAAAGTCTGCAAAAAACCATATATTCAGCATATAAATTAAAGTCAAAGTCAAAAGGTCTTTGACCTTGGTGTCATTTGTAAGAGCTTTATTTGTGGAGTAGGCATACCAAATATGAAGTCTCTTTCATTCATGGTTCAAACGTTATGGCGAACGTTAAAGTTTGCAGACAAACAGCTAGACAGACAGGACAAAGACAATATACACCTTGGATCTTTCGAACCGGGAGCATGATTAATCAGACATTGTTTTATTTCACTATTACGGTCACACTGATATTCTTTGCGAAATAAGAAATTATTTAAATGCAATTTAAAGAAATATTCCAGTTTTTCAGTTATACTGGATATGGACACGTTGAAAACCACTAAAGAAAACTATTTTCATAGCCATATTGAAGACTTTAGAATTTATGTACCTTCTGACTTTATATTATATCATTAGATTAAAAAATGTTTTTTTTATTGTACAGAATATGTGAAATTAAAATGAAATTAATCGTAATCAATGTTATTATTTTGAATTAATTTTGAACAAAAATCTCATTGTGAAGTAGGAATAAAGGTTCTATACAATATTTATTGTATATAAAATCCTATCTTATAGCATGTTAAAAAACCGGAACTGAATTAAATATAATGGAAATATTGTATTGTTTTTCAACTGTATTTATATTTACCGGATGGATGTTTTCTACAACCAAAAACTCGGTGACATTGGTCTTTGGGACAGTTGCATGTTGAACGACGATACCAGCCATAGGTAGGTTGTAAACAAGGAACATCGCACTGTTCTCCAAAGTAGCCAGGATTACATTCTGAAAACAGTAATAATAATAATCATGGTTAACTTTGTTATTTTTATGAAAAAAGAATTTCTAATTTATGATAAGAATTTCAAATATCACAGATAAAAGAAGACAAACCGACGCATTTATCCAGTGTTCTATTCCAAATGTATCCATTGCAGCATATTTTCCCGGACGGTCTTAAGAAGTAAAAGAAAAACACTGATACCTTAGGATTTCATTTATGCCAACCAACTACGTCCAATTAAAAAGTTGATAAATGCAGTATATATTTTAATTTATTGCCTGTTAAAAACGTCTCTACTGTAAATCATGTAAAAAAAAAAAAAAAAACAACATATAATCATATTTCAAGCGCAAGTTGTAAAATTACACATTCTAAATGTTATCGTCATATTTTCTGTTAAATTGTGTGTCCTTTTTTAATCTAAGCCTTTGTTGTTGAAACTCTTTAAGGAAAGCCACGATATAATCAATTTGCTGATGTTATTTAACAATCTAAAGACTTGATGCTAATTTTCTCTGCAAATGCATTCATTATCTGTAAAGAAAGCCTAATTAGAGGCTACTCTCTTGTTGTGTCCTTCACTTGATCGGTGCTGTGTTCGATTATTGTTCGTTTTACTGCGTTAAACCTTCTCCAACCCACCAAACCCCTCCAGATTTAGAAATGAAAGTATCGGAGCTATCGAATGCAACCTTTAAAAATGTTATACGGTGTCACAGCTATCAATACCAATAAAAAACTCTTACTGCTTATTGGTGAAATGATTCGTAATAGGAATTTTTCTCGCCAGATTTGATTAATCTCTCGCAATATTTGATTAATCTCTCGCAATATTTGAGGGCCTCTAATACATGTACGAGAATAAAGCTGCTCACTTAGTCACTGCTCAATGTAATCAATCATCAACGATGCAGAAAGTCGAATGCTATACAACAATCGGTCGCAACAAAAAATATTTTGTATCAAATAGTTTACTAAATAATCAGGCGTCAAAAGATATGCAGAACAGAATCACAAATAGAAATCTTACCCATCACACAAGAGGGAAATGCATGGCAAGAAATGAGAAAATGAAATGCCCAGAGAACATGTAAAATACACCAACCCCATTATGTTTACATTGATATAATTTGCATATAGAACTATTTCCTTGTTTAAAATTTAGACTGAATTCCTATACATGTATCTTCCGGGATATGTCAGAAAGATTTGTAAACGTACATTATCCTGAACAAAATATACAAATGATGTTTATGTTGGTTATCCTTCCTGAGTGTAGTGAGATTTGGTGCCAAGCAAAGCGTAAGGAACTAAATCGAATGGCTAGCGAGGGGTTTATTAATATATGCATAGTACAAATAATTATAGCAACCACTTTTTATGTAAAAAAAAAATCAGGAAAGTTAACTTGAATTCTTTGTAAAGTAATCATTTATAAATAAAGTATTTAATTGTACATTGACCATGGTATTTAACAACAAATTGAGTTACAAATGCGATGCACTGAGCAAATTAAACCTTTCTTAATGGGGGATTTAATAATTTTTAGACCCGTTAAATATACTAAAACGTAACGAAAAAAGGAAGAAAATGTAAATATATACCATTATAAACCCATGGTAATAATATTTCTTGATTAATTTGTTTGAAGACTCATGTAGGAGTATTTCAAAATAATGTAACTTCACCTTCTTTGCATGAAAAATCGAGAAAATACATGTATCTCAATTTAACAACATCGACATATTAGATTGAGTACTGAACCGAAGAGAGAAAAAAATTAAGGGATTTCATAACAGTGTACAATACTTTGTAGCTTATTCATTACACTGTACTCAAAATGATTTATTAAAAGTACAAACAAGGCCACTGACATAAGGATCTTCATAAATCTTAAGGTAGACCATTACTTGGCATTTAACGCGCAGATATTCATTGCAAAGTCTTTGATAAATATGTTTAAATAAAACAGGCAATGAACACCTCAAATATGCAGCTAGTCAGGGTCTTTATGCAACAGGTCAATCATTAATACCATCGTAAAAATGGAATACATTTTACAGAAAGAAGAATATACTGAGGTATACCATCACGTAAATAGTTAGTGTTCATGTGTTTAAAAAAGTAATTAAAAACTCGGATAATTAAATGCTAGGTTGATACTGTATTTGCTAAGCGAGCCCCCCCCCCCCCCCCCAAAAAAAAAACAAAAAAAAAAACGCCTGTTTTGCAACTGCGAAGAGATTATTTGGTATACATGTAATCCAAATCATACCCAAAAGTCTTGATAATCTAGTATTTGGTGATGAAGCCTGTATATGATATTTGCAGCCAAATAATTAGATGTCTACCAAAGAATGTATTAGTCCGAGCATTGCTTAAAGATCGGAAGGTTTAATATGGCTACTGAATTTTTTTTATTAGTTTATACTGGCACGCGTTGGCTGTAAAAATGTACGAACTTGAGAGTGGATTTGTAAAGTAAAGGAGTACCAATATTGGCAAATATTAGTCCAATCAAATTAGGTGGATTTTTTCCACTATCTGTATTAATATTAAAATAAACATCTGTACTGTTTGTTATTAATTTTGTATCATATCCTAGCGGCATAATGATTTGGCTACTGAATTTTTATTAAAGCTCAAAAGTATTAATTGTATGTTTGCATATATTGTTTAAACGTCCCTCTCGAGAATTTTTCACTCATATGAAGACGCCACTATAGCTACTTGCCTGTGAACTTCATGAAAATCTGGAATTGAAAGAGATTAAAAAAATGTTGGATACCATGTAATAAGCAAGTCAATATAGCGGTATATATTCAGAGAAACATATTTGGAACAACAGTAAGAGCATTGTCTAAATGCTTTTGCTTCTGTATGCTGAGTAAATCACCTTTCTCAATCCTTTTTTACTTCCGACTTTTTTTTAACCGTGTTGAAATTGAAAGAACTCAATATTTGACGATTTCAAAGAGAGCATCATCTCATTAACATTTTCGTGTCTCTGCTTCTTACAGCAGCTTTGGATTCTTTGCAAATGTAAAGAGCAAAAAAGTTACGTAAAAGCTTTCTGAAAAGTTTCCACATATTTCATCAATCAGATTTGAAGATGGACTTGAGGTGACGATAAGGGATTATTCTTGTAAAGGAATCCGTAGGAATAAATCTCAAAATCATTTATGTTCAAAACTGCAGGCCCTGATTAGCCCTGGTGATATGTAACCATTCTCAGGCATTAATCACTATTTCAATGGAACTATTGAGTGTTCTTCAAGAACGTAAGAAAAAATGCAAGGTACTTTTCTTGCAGAGAAGGTTCAAAATGAGACATATAAGACAAAAAGGTCTAAGAGTACTCGATTTCAAAAGAAGTTTTCAAAAGAATTCATTCACCACCGATATTTCGACTTATGGGACCTACATATTTTTAGTGACCTCCTTAGTTTACATTTCAGTTGAAATTACCAATGTACAGGTCTTGCATGGGGCAAAGTGATTAAAGTTGCTAAAGTGGGAGTTGTGACACAAATATAAAGGGAGGTGTTTGATATATCTTACCATCTAATTCTTACAAGTCATCCAGTGATGTATTCTATCTCCCTCTGTTTCTTTAAATATAAACAACTTGCCAACGTTTGTCCGAAAACCATCCAGCTTTTTGTGTTTTTTTTGTTTTTTTTCGTCTATTATTATTTCAATCACAAAGTGTCGGTACTTCGTAAAGTAACGAATATTTTGCTGGTGGTTTGTTGATTTATTTTTGTCCTTGTTACATTTTATTCTGAATATGCTAAAATAAAATCTTGCCATTGTTTGAGGTTTCATAGAGAACAAAAAAAAACTGAACTGTCTAAAGATCTCTTAAACGTTTAGGAATAAAAAAAAATATTCAATACTTGTATATACAACGTTTGTTGCCATCAACCATATTTGAATGAATTAGCGCTGTTACAATCCAAAATGATACAATACCGCAATATGCAATATAGTGGTGCTATTACATGTATGTGAATTTCATTATCAATGCAGAATTTAACTACGGAAAATATAATTATCCTGACATTTTGTTATCATTTTGTTCAATATCGTATAAGTGTAAATTGTAGCGAGACGCACTTTTGTCCTTTATTAAAATATGGCATTTTATTTTTAGTAAGAGGTAATTTTAGCAATTCTAAATGCGCAATCATGCAGCTATTACAAATTAAACATAATTTTTTTTATAATTAATTTTTGCGATTTCAGAACCCTCGCTAATAATGTCAAAATTAATTCTCGCTAAAAATTCTGCTTATACGGTACATTTTGTATTGAACCAGCACTACCTTTAACGTGCTGGTCATGTTGGATTTCATTCATAAATTAAAGTTCATAATGTATGGAGCTTTTAAAAAAGTTATAATCCTTCTTTTTTTTTTGTTAAAACGTTTACACAATAAAAATCCCTCACTGCAAAATGGCGGTTAATGCCGAGAAAAGGCCTAAAACAGCGTTGAAATTTTCTCGAATTTAAAGTAAAACAACCTTAATAAATCAATTAATTTCGGAAAATTAAAACTTTCATATAAGACTTACATTTTATATTTACTAGATCTAGAAATATGATTTAACATATGAATCTCATACCTACACACACAGTACATGAGTGTTATATCACCCTAGGTTCCTTTGTTTACAGCACCCGAATTCCTTTCCCCTACTTTCACAAATCAAGGACCCTAATCAAACTTATTTTCCCAAGCAGTTATTTTATGACTGACACTTTTTGTGCGCGAAAAGAAGAAAACGCTTGCTGTGGCCGTCAACTTGACATTTAGATATATATCGACGACGTATTGTTAATTAACATTGGTAATTCGATAGTTGATTCGATACGCAAGGACTTGCTCAACGTATGAACAATTTCTAAAACGAGGTAAATTATTGAGAAGCAAGTTGATGAAACAAGAATATCAACCGTCTCGTTTTAAGTCATCATTTCTTAAGTTCTATGGTCAATACAATGACCTATTCAGCAAATACAATTTATCATTGAGTCAAATGCTGACTGACGTTTTTCAGACTAATTGTAAGTCCCTTATTATCCCCTCGCGCAACTAGTTGCGAAGGGGATATAGCATCGCGAATGCGCGTGTGTGTGTGTGAGGGTGTGAGTGTGTGTTAGTGTGTTCGTTACACCTTGTGGGCAAGATTGACAAAAAACCTTTGCATTAACCATTCTCAGCGTTTACATATTTGTGTGGCAGTATAAAAGGACAAAGCCTATTCATTTTCAAGTTCATTGTTGAAATATTTCTTCAGATATCGCGTTTTCACTCTCTCGAAACCCTGACATAACTGTGAGATATACTTACATTGTAGGTAGGTAAATAATTAAAATTACTAAAACTTATACATATAGCATACGTGATATGTTTCTGCTAGGTGTAAGGGAAACTGCCCAATTACGCATATTATGCCCCCCCCCCACTGAAATGATATGCAATTTGATTTTTGTTAAAAATAGACATTCTCTACCCCGATAATTTTGTTTAAAAATAAACAGTGCTGAAAAACAATTTGATATCTTAAATCAAACTTTACTACCCCGAATTAGGTATCCCTGTTACATATTGTATGCCCCCTTGACCAAGACGCTATGCACTTTGTTTTTTTTTGTAAAAAGAAAATGGATCATCACAATAATTTTGTCAAAAGTAAGGGGGTTGATTGTAAAGTTGCGGGTTTGAATTCTTTTGTGGGACGTGGAGACTTGTCCTTCAAATGAGACCGTGTAAACCACGGGCCCAAGGGCGAGGGGATGCTCCTCTAAGCGGTGCCCTTGTTTATACACTGAATTGACGACGGATTTTTTCGTTATTTCATGATCATGACAAGAAGCTTATGGCGGGTGTGACCAGTCAGCAGGGAATGCTCACTCCTACATGGTACTTGATCCCACCTCTGATGTTTTGGAGGTCCGTGTTTGCTCTTCTCCTATTTTGTATTGTTTTATGGACTTTGAGATTGAATACGGCTCGTTATCTCCAGTTCCTTCTCATCATAATATATATAACTGCTCTATTGTTGACATCCGTTTATTGTGAAATCTCAGAAAAAATTCTATTATTCTCCTCCGATCTA